TATTTTGAATACTCAGTGGTGATTTCAACTAATATGTAATCACACAGCTCTGTCATTGCTTTCACTGCCCACAACTTAAACAGCTCCATTGCAGCCCAGGGCAGTCCGGGCTAACAGCACTTTTTGCCCAAGTTCATCACGGAAAGTGGTGTTTAACAAGTTTGCTGTCTCTCACTGCTTTAATTTAACTTCGTGATTGATTTAATTCTTGGAACAGCCCTGTCCTCAAGCGTGGGTAGTGGTATCGACTTGCTCCCAGGTGGCAGACTGTCTTATCTGGAGTATGCGGACGACATTGGTATTTAATGAAGATCCAGGTAAGTTGCAAGCTTTTCAGAATGGTTTGAGTGCTGGTGTAGGCGTTCTCGGTATGCGTTTTGCACCTTCAAAGTGTAAAATGTTACTGCAAGATTGGGTTGGTCCAGCACCTGGTCTCACCCTAACTGGGGAAGTAGTAGAGAGAGTAGAAAAAATGTTTTGTCTGAGCAGTTTTATCTCACCTGGTGGACGCATCAAAGATGAGGTGTTGGCGAGCATACAAAATATTCTGTTGACATTTGCCGACTTGCGATATTTGTGGCCCCGTCGCGACATCCGGCTGTCCGCGGAGGGTCGACTATATGCTGCAGAAGATCAGCCAGTTCTGCTTTACGGTGCAGAGACTTGATCACTTCAGGAATAAGATAAAAATAGGTTGTTCGTGTCCAAGCACCGCTGTCTACGTCGCATTGCACCAGTCTGGTGGGGTAAACTAATTTGCAATGCTGAGAATTGTCAGAGTTTTAGGTGGTCCCGGTGGCTCACTGTGGCAAGTTATCGAACTCCATAGATTAGACTGTTTGGGGCATGTTTGACGCACGTTACCAGATAGGTTGTCACGGCGAGCAATGTTCGCCGAGGCATTAAAGGCCTGGGGGGAGGGGCTAACGTTCGTCAGAAACTGTCACTAAATTTTGCTCACGTTCGTTCTGGATATCCGTCACAAAAAGAAACAGAACCAAGTATTGGGTATGTAGAAATGATATAGTCTGAAACTTCCAAAACGTTGGAAGTTAGTTTGGCTAGACCTTGGCTGTTATTTGAGCAACGGCAGCGGAAACCTGAGGGTAGATATCATCAGTGCAAGAAACTGTGCGATACAGATCTAAATGTGGGAAATGGTGCTGGTGCGATCTTTTCGAGCTCAATAAAAGCACGATAATATTTTAAGCGAAACCCAATTCTGGAATTGTTCAAGTTGCTATATCTAGTGAAAAAACGGGCAGACGTTCACGATGTATGCCCCCCCTCTTATTTCCACTGAAGGCCACATTCGCTAACCTGTGATCTTGAAAAAATAATGTAATCCTTTTGCTATCATAATCAATCATTTCCAATAGTTCCCGTCTTCTTATCGAAATTTGATTAAGGTCCCTTTTGTTTTAATTTTTGACCTTGAAATCATGTCGGACCATTCCAACCTGCACAAAATCCTTGGAGGTTTGGCTTGTGTTGAATACCTGCAGAATCGTGGTCTTCTTCCAAAAGATAAATTATGTGTGAACACCACGCGTGTGTAGGAGCACAGCCGGAGCAAGGATGGCTGTGTTTTACGTTGTTGTAAATGCAAGAGGCATACCTCCGTACGTACGGGAACATATTTGGCCACTCCGCTGTAAATTGTTCCGTTGGATTTATTATTGAAAAGCTTTGGAATCATCCTGATGAAGTTCAGATTAAGTCCTAATTTTTCATGCGATAAATTTCCAGACGATATATTTACATTTCTGGACCATATATAGCAGATTTATCCTTAGCGAATTTTTGTTATCATTTCTTAGTAATACTTTCATACATTTTTCCTTGATATTAGCATCATTATTGTTGTTTTTGATTGTTTTCTCCTAATATTAGGTACGTATTATTCCATGGGCTGAGTCCTTTTCGTATACACTACTTATATTTAGCTTAGTTATTATCGTTCACGTCCGCCAAAAAACGTTCTCTAGAAGATCAATATCCCCAAATAATGGCGATAGGTGCTAAATCTCGACGGTACACTTGATTGTGCAAGGTTAAGAAGAAGGGTCTTTATGTTAAAAGGAAAAGATTAACGGTAGTCTAGCTTTTGTAATTAAACTATCTGACTGATATGCTACGTCACTACTTGATATCTCAACCTTGATGGTTATGATAATTGTGTCGTGATTATGTAACCATGTCTTGATAGTCCTCATTCATACAGTACTGGTTAGAAATTGAACCTGTCCTGATGCTAGTCACCAGCGTAGGGTGAAAGTGCTACTAGTCCATGATTTGATGATGACGTCCAGCTTGAATGGAAACTTATGGGGAAAACAAGAGACAAGAAGAGAAAGCTGCTGTTAGAAAATTATCCGCTGATGTACCGTCACAGGCACATGACGATTGGTAGAAAGCCGAAGGCGGTCAAACAGAGATCTGGCATGGGGGTCTAAATCAATAAACTGGACAGTAGGTCACACAGTCCTGTTAGGCTCGCTGACCGGGAAACCCGAGATCATGATCATGGACAGTTATAGACCCTCAGCGCTTGGGCTGGGTGCTGCAAACAGTGGTGCTTGTGTGTATACTCAATATTCTCTTTACTCGACTTTATGAATTTACCGGCGAACGGATAATGGTTGTAAAAATACAACTAAACTGAATTTGAGCCCAAGTTGACTTGTGTTTTGACCACCTCAGCCAATAAGTGCACGGTGCAACTTTGATGTATTGTAGTGAGTATGATTGTACAAAAAAGAGGGGCAATTCAAGTGGCGTTTTCCGTTCATATTTTCTTCGCAATAAACTCTGACTCCAACTGTGATATTTCTTTGTTTTACTACTGCTTGTTTTACTGTGCACGGTTTTCCACTCACATGTATGCATAAACCTGTTCAAACCCACGAAACACGTGTGACACGCCTTCGCTTTGCTACTGCATTTATTGCTTCCATTGATTAGCATTATCTCGGCACGTATTCGGTACTAGTACCACGATACGTAGAGAAACATTCACAACTACCGCGAGTGTTTTTGTCTACTCCGGTCAACGAGACAGTAAGGGGTCGCGCGCAATTTGAGATTCGTAAGAAGACATCCGCAGGCCGTCAACACAGGTTAGCTTCATTGGTGAGCCCGCAACGTCTACTTTGTAAGTCAAACACAATATGGTTTGAACTTGTTTCTCACGGTTCATTTTCATTAGCAACATATAATTGTTGATCGCGATTGTACGTTGGCTGAGGAGCGTAAACCAGTAGACGATAGGGAACTGAACCTATTGGTTATTAGTTTCAAGTCAGTAGCTTTCATCCCTTACAACCCTGGGGAGTGGATTTTGTGTTAGAAACGCAGCTCATCGCCCGTAACTTGCGGAGTTAACGCTCAAAATACGCTTACGCGGTAGAGGCAATCTCTGGTAACCGAATTTGCGCTTATAGGGATATAATTCTTAAACCGTCGGAGAAGAACGCGTACGACG